CTGTGACTGGGCCAGGTGGGCATGTGGATAGAGAAGCATTTGACCTTGTCTGTGATCAAGGGGCTTCCAAACTAGTTTTCTCACATGAAACGAATGAAATGCTAAGACTTCTGCTAGAAAGAGTTGAGTTAAACATAAGAAACCATCTAATTATATGACACATATGTTTGGTTCATAAGAAAAGGGCTCTTTATTGGCTGGTGTTTGGTAATTTCTATGCCAGAGGAATAGTACATGGAAGTATAGACAAGACCTTTTAATTCATAGGTTGAAATATTTATCTCAGGTATCCATGGGACATTCTTTTTCCTGAAACAAATATATATAGTTTAGATCAATATTTGATTTGGTTTATTCTAACCTTTAGTTTAATTGATGGTCTTTTTTTCTTTCAGGTTTTTATCACGGTTTTAGCCTTTTTGCAAAAGCAAGTCAAGACTTAACTTCTCTCTGGTGAACCAGTGTGCAGATTGTGAGAAATGTCAGTCCAAGAAATAAATAAATATGCAGTTATCCCTCCTATCATTAGTAAAAGTGACAAAGAATTTTTGGAAAGTATGCACAAATACATAATTACAGAAACTGAAAAAGTGGGCTGTAATGAGGAAGGACCTGCTGATGAATATTACATCATATACCGAAATGTTTTTGATAAGGTATCATAATGCTCTTAAAACAATGGAGTTTTCATGTGGTAGAAATGGTCTATCTTGACCACCAATATTCCTGCCTTAGTAACACCACTGCTTGTCTGACTACATTCCACTTGTCGGTTTTGAGGTTTATTCAATTTGTTGGAAAGGACTGATAGGGAAAAATGCAATGCTGGATTTATATTACTATATAGTTAGTGAGTGTTTCAATTGTTTTAGCTTAAGTAGGCGGTCAGTTTTTGAGCAACAACCTTGCTGTGCCCTCTAACATCATTTTGACCATCTATCTGAAAGTATTAGCTGATTGGTTAAGAATTTGGCTGCCAGCAGGAACCTAATAGTTCTTGTTGTTTTGGGTTTGTTTATGGTAGCATTGAAGTCTTTGTTTAGATTTCATCTAACATATTAAATTGAGACCCCCTTGCAGATTAGAGGTATAGGTAGGCATGGTAAACATGGTAAACAAGGGGTTTGACTACACTGAACATTGGAAATGTGGAAATCATATTAGAAAATGTTAAGGCTTTACATAACATTTGATTTTGCTTTTCAAGGTTTTAGAAATACCTGTTTTTTCTTATAAACAATAAACAATTTTAGTTTGCCCACCAATCCTATTTTTTTTTACTTACACCCCACAAAGTAAGTGATAGTAAACAGTTGGAATCAGTATGCCTTCCTCCTTACCTAGAAGAAATAATTTCTTACCTGAAGACTTCTGTAAACTATTGGTCTCTGAGTGACTTCTGTAAACTATTGTTCTCTGAGTAAAACAGCCACAGGCGAATAAGAATTCAGTCTTTTCTTTAACTTTTAAACATTACCCAGAATATGTTTTATTTCTTGCCTAAGTAAAAACGTAGTGCCTTTCTCTAAGGAAAAGTAAGTACAAAGTAAGCACATATACCTACCAGTGGAATTAAGAAATTTGATGCAAATCCCTAAGAATGTAAAATTGAGAAACCAGAGTATTTTCTTCCTTTTAAGTCCTCTAGAAAATCTTTTAGAATTGGTACATTGACAGGTTAGCTTTATTTTATACATAATGATAAGTGATACTGCTTTTGGTATTTTAGTCATTAAGGAATGTTATTAGATGAATATTTAAAGGTGATGTTTTGAATAGGTTTCATAAATATCAAGAATCATACTGACATTCTCGTATGAAATCAACAAAGGAGAGTTACCATAACTGACATACTTCTCTTTGCATTCCAAATACTAATACTTATCAGACATTTTATTATATAAAGAGCTATCTGCTTTAAATTAGTATAGTTATATTGAATTCATTTTGGGGGCGGTGGTAAATTTAATTCTTTTGAGAAAAGAAATGGGATTAAATAAAAGATAATATCTACATCTATAGTACTTTTCTCCCTATTTCCCAAGATTTCCTTGTAGACTGTTTGTACATTATGCAAATAAGATGTATGAATGTACACTGTAAAGAATCCTATTTTTCAGAGGGGATCTGAAATAGGAATCATTTGGTACTTAGAGAAACTTTCCTTCTAGCGTCTCAATAAATAATCTGCTTTTCATTTTCATCTTATTCCAGCACATTTGATTGTAATAAACTATTAAGCACTGTCTTCTATAATCATGACCTTCCCTCTTGGAAACATCTACTTAGGCAAAAGATGAGAGTATCAGCTTGTTTCTCTGAATACTAGGAACCAGAGAACAAATACCAAATTCTGTTTAAAATCAAAGATAGAGGATTTGACCTGGAGAACCATGCCTGAATCAAAGCAAGGAGGACCTGAGACTCATTTGACAAAAGTTGAGGGTAGGTTGTAGAGAGAGCCAAGAACTTAGTAAGCAAAAAGACCAAAGCTTAGAGAGAGTGACCTTCTATAGAAATGAGTGAATTATGGAGGCAACTAGGCTCTGGAAAGTGGCTGGCCTTTTGTGTTCCTGGTGCCATGTTGCACAAATAGTCTAGATCCATATATAGGAATGGAGATAAAATGTATGCCATTCCTCTTCTCCCTCAGATTCCTGTACCAGTAAGTATATCTCTGGTTTTCTTGGGTTTAATGGAAGCCTTAATACAGAGGCCAGGAAGGTCATATAAAAGAGTGGGCTGGCTGTAAAAGAATAAGGAATCATGAGGACTATGGTAAAATAATGAACCAATACAATCTACAGCTCCAGCTGATTACTGCCATTACCAGAATGGGGGTCCCAGGTTAGTAGATTTTCAGAGTTTTGTTCAAGAGAAGCTAGAAGTATGTTTTCTTATGAAATTTTCTAAATTTTCATACATTTTGTGGGTCAAACAAAACTTTATTTTATGTGTGGCATGACAGTTCGCCTCTTTTAATGCATTTTCTGTGCATTGTCAGAGGTTCCCATGAGTGTTCTGAAATCTGTTTCTTCTAGCAAACAGATATGGGAGCTGATCATGGTGTCAATACAAATTTATTTTTTATCCATTGACATATCTGAGTTGTGATGGGTTGTTGCAACACATTACAGAGGCATGTGGAGTGGAGGATGGCCAGAAACAGTGGAGTGTGTAATTTGGGAGACCACAGATTAATGGTCTCTATTTTATTAAAGGTTCCTGAGTTGTAGACCTCTGATTTGGGTAGACAGGTAGTACAGTCAGAAAGACAACCGATATCTCTCAGATACCTTCTGGTACTTGCCATCTTGACATTACTCAATAATCTCCTTATACCATTTCTTGATAGACCAGATGTATTCCTGGACAATATTTTTTAGATATTGTCTAGGTAAGAGAAAACCAGTGAGGGATACCAGACACTACAGATGGAATGGGGGTAGAAAGTATAACTATAGCTTTCAGAGAAAATTACAGATTTTCTATTCCTTGCATACTTTGATCCCCTCTGAAATCCTCATGAGCAGAATTTGGAAACCAGGTCTAAACTTTTATAACTCTTTTGTTTTTTAACTTATTTAAAATGTTTCTTAATTATTTGATTTTGAATAGGTAATGCAAACAAAAGATTGATATGGAAGAAAAGAAGGGAGGAAGGAAAGGGAACCAATAAAGTCAGGTCCTTCTTATCTCAGACCCTGCTTCCCCTTTCCCCTGAAGTCACCCACTATTTCTATTTTCTTCCATTATCTTTCCAGAGATATTCTGTACTTAAACCCATTGGAAACCATATAGTAATCAGGGGTTTTCTACCCTTGCACCTGACATCTTGGGGATAGAAATGCAATTTGGGAATCGAGAGTACTCATCAGCCATTAGGAACTGATAGATTAGAAAAATAGGAAGGTGAAGGGAATCTAGGATTTCAAGGTCTAAATGAAGATTAGATTTGAAGGTAGTAAGGGATGATATGTAATTCACAAGATCTAAAATTAGGATAATTAGACCTGGTATTGGTTTTAACTAACATAAGTGTTTATACCCAAGTAAAGCAAAAATATGGTCCCTTTTTTTTCTTTCATATTTAAGCTCACAGTATTATAATGATTAACAAAGTCTGTGTATTCAGTGAATATTGTCTTTCTTACCCAGTCATACTTGATCTTGCTAAGTGCTCAAATCTGTAAATTTTCAGACTTCTAATTGCTCATGTTTAATTTAAAAATAATCTCTAAAGATATTTGCAAGGTTTTTGATCCATAGTCTATAAAAATATTCAGTACCATAGGCAGAAAAATCATATTTCAGGTAATAGAGTATGTCACTGCATACAAATCCATTCTTACTTCAATCAAAAAAGAATATGATGCTTTTATTGAGACAATAAAGAAAGGCCAAAGAACTGCATTTAATCTTCATGGCAAACTTAAAATTTTGGCAGCAGAGCCCACAGCATTGGTATATCACAGGAAAAGAACAATCCAACTTGAAGCAAAGTAAGTATATTAGTAAGTAGCTCAAAGGTGATAATTGTTACTTGGTTATATTAACTAGTCAGTGTATCTACAACCAGTGGTTCTCAGTCTATTTTAATTTCAATTTTTTAAAGCCAGGTTTTGATGTTACTCTTGCTACCAACTTGAAATTATTAATTCTGCTTGAGAATTTTATAATATTTCCAAAGATAATTGGAGGCATATTGTAGTATCACTAAATGAGGAATGCAGATAATTGCTCTAGGTAATTTCTTGCATGGAAGATTTGATAGTACAATTTCATGATTACCATCTGAATTAGAGCACTTAATCCTGGGATGCACAAAGGTAAGTAACCTACTGGGAGAGGATTAAATGCTTACTCTTGAGAGAGTATTTTCTTCCTTTTAAGTCCTCTAGAAAATCTTTTAGAATTGGTACATTGACAGGTTAGCTTTATTTTATACATAATGATAAGTGATACTGCTTTTGGTATTTTAGTCATTAAGGAATGTTATTAGATGAATGTTTAAAGGTGATGTTTTGAATAGGTTTCATAAATATCAAGAATCATACTGACATTCTCGTATGAAATCAACAAAGGAGAGTTACCATAACTGACATACTTCTCTTTGCATTCCAAATACTAATACTTATCAGACATTTTATTATATAAAGAGCTATCTGCTTTAAATTAGTATAGTTATATTGAATTCATTTTGGGGGCGGTGGTAAATTTAATTCTTTTGAGAAAAGAAATGGGATTAAATAAAAGATAATATCTACATCTATAGTACTTTTCTCCCTATTTCCCAAGATTTCCTTGTAGACTGTTTGTACATTATGCAAATAAGATGTATGAATGTACACTGTAAAGAATCCTATTTTTCAGAGGGGATCTGAAATAGAAATCATTTGGTACTTAGAGAAACTTTCCTTCTAGCGTCTCAATAAATAATCTGCTTTTCATTTTCATGTTATTCCAGCACATTTGATTGTAATAAACTATTAAGCACTGTCTTCTATAATCATGACCTTCCCTCTTGGAAACATCTACTTAGGCAAAAGATGAGAGTATCAGCTTGTTTCTCTGAATACTAGGAACCAGAGAACAAATACCAAATTCTGTTTAAAATCAAAGATAGAGGATTTGACCTGGAGAACCATGCCTGAATCAAAGCAAGGAGGACCTGAGACTCATTTGACAAAAGTTGAGGGTAGGTTGTAGAGAGAGCCAAGAACTTAGTAAGCAAAAAGACCAAAGCTTAGAGAGAGTGACCTTCTATAGAAATGAGTGAATTATGGAGGCAACTAGGCTCTGGAAAGTGGCTGGCCTTTTGTGTTCCTGGTGCCATGTTGCACAAATAGTCTAGATCCATATATAGGAATGGAGATAAAATGTATGCCATTCCTCTTCTCCCTCAGATTCCTGTACCAGTAAGTATATCTCTGGTTTTCTTGGGTTTAATGGAAGCCTTAATACAGAGGCCAGGAAGGTCATATAAAAGAGTGGGCTGGCTGTAAAAGAATAAGGAATCATGAGGACTATGGTAAAATAATGAACCAATACAATCTACAGCTCCAGCTGATTACTGCCATTACCAGAATGGGGGTCCCAGGTTAGTAGATTTTCAGAGTTTTGTTCAAGAGAAGCTAGAAGTATGTTTTCTTATGAAATTTTCTAAATTTTCATACATTTTGTGGGTCAAACAAAACTTTATTTTATGTGTGGCATGACAGTTCGCCTCTTTTAATGCATTTTCTGTGCATTGTCAGAGGTTCCCATGAGTGTTCTGAAATCTGTTTCTTCTAGCAAACAGATATGGGAGCTGATCATGGTGTCAATACAAATTTATTTTTTATCCATTGACATATCTGAGTTGTGATGGGTTGTTGCAACACATTACAGAGGCATGTGGAGTGGAGGATGGCCAGAAACAGTGGAGTGTGTAATTTGGGAGACCACAGATTAATGGTCTCTATTTTATTAAAGGTTCCTGAGTTGTAGACCTCTGATTTGGGTAGACAGGTAGTACAGTCAGAAAGACAACCGATATCTCTCAGATACCTTCTGGTACTTGCCATCTTGACATTACTCAATAATCTCCTTATACCATTTCTTGATAGACCAGATGTATTCCTGGACAATATTTTTTAGATATTGTCTAGGTAAGAGAAAACCAGTGAGGGATACCAGACACTACAGATGGAATGGGGGTAGAAAGTATAACTATAGCTTTCAGAGAAAATTACAGATTTTCTATTCCTTGCATACTTTGATCCCCTCTGAAATCCTCATGAGCAGAATTTGGAAACCAGGTCTAAACTTTTATAACTCTTTTGTTTTTTAACTTATTTAAAATGTTTCTTAATTATTTGATTTTGCATAGGTAATGCAAACAAAAGATTGATATGGAAGAAAAGAAGGGAGGAAGGAAAGGGAACCAATAAAGTCAGGTCCTTCTTATCTCAGACCCTGCTTCCCCTTTCCCCTGAAGTCACCCACTATTTCTATTTTCTTCCATTATCTTTCCAGAGATATTCTGTACTTAAACCCATTGGAAACCATATAGTAATCAGGGGTTTTCTACCCTTGCACCTGACATCTTGGGGATAGAAATGCAATTTCTGATGGCTGAGTACTCATCAGCCATTAGGAACTGATAGATTAGAAAAATAGGAAGGTGAAGGGAATCTAGGATTTCAAGGTCTAAATGAAGATTAGATTTGAAGGTAGTAAGGGATGATATGTAATTCACAAGATCTAAAATTAGGATAATTAGACCTGGTATTGGTTTTAACTAACATAAGTGTTTATACCCAAGTAAAGCAAAAATATGGTCCCTTTTTTTTCTTTCATATTTAAGCTCACAGTATTATAATGATTAACAAAGTCTGTGTATTCAGTGAATATTGTCTTTCTTACCCAGTCATACTTGATCTTGCTAAGTGCTCAAATCTGTAAATTTTCAGACTTCTAATTGCTCATGTTTAATTTAAAAATAATCTCTAAAGATATTTGCAAGGTTTTTGATCCATAGTCTATAAAAATATTCAGTACCATAGGCAGAAAAATCATATTTCAGGTAATAGAGTATGTCACTGCATACAAATCCATTCTTACTTCAATCAAAAAAGAATATGATGCTTTTATTGAGACAATAAAGAAAGGCCAAAGAACTGCATTTAATCTTCATGGCAAACTTAAAATTTTGGCAGCAGAGCCCACAGCATTGGTATATCACAGGAAAAGAACAATCCAACTTGAAGCAAAGTAAGTATATTAGTAAGTAGCTCAAAGGTGATAATTGTTACTTGGTTATATTAACTAGTCAGTGTATCTACAACCAGTGGTTCTCAGTCTATTTTAATTTCAATTTTTTAAAGCCAGGTTTTGATGTTACTCTTCCTACCAACTTGAAATTATTAATTCTGCTTGAGAATTTTATAATATTTCCAAAGATAATTGGAGGCATATTGTAGTATCACTAAATGAGGAATGCAGATAATTGCTCTAGGTAATTTCTTGCATGGAAGATTTGATAGTACAATTTCATGATTACCATCTGAATTAGAGCACTTAATCCTGGGATGCACAAAGGTAAGTAACCTACTGGGAGAGGATTAAATGCTTACTCTTGAGTAGTCTCAGATTTTTAGTGTTCCATATGATAAATGATGTATAAATATTTTTATAGATAATTTCAAATAAACTTGGACAATTATGCAGTTTGACCTCCATTTCTGCTAATACAGCTGTCTAGATAGAGGTTCCTATAGGGGAACAATGCAACATAAAAAAGATTTTTAAAATCTTTACAAAAGCAACAGAAAGCTGACAACATAGTAAGAGATTATTAGAGCAAAACTGTAACAAGAGGAGCACTAATGCTTCTTTTCCCACAGGAGCATTTAATAAAACTAGTGAGGATAAGCTTTAGTTTTTACTGTGGCATAGGGGAATAAGAGACAGAACCCAAGATCTGTCCAAAGGCTGTAGTCTACTGGGAAATCCTCCACATGCAAAGCTGGGATGATAAAGGGCTATGCCTTTGTAGAACAAACCAGAGGTCAACTGCCCCACCATTAGAGACTGCATAGAAAACTGCCTTCTGCTCAGAAGACTGTTAATGGGTATGGGGCAAATTTTTGAAGTGATGAAATGTTCTGAAACTACAAGTGGTAGTGGTTGTGTATCTCTGAATATACTAAAATTCACAGAATTTTAGACTTTACAAGGGAGAAATTTAATGCCAATGAACTGTATCTTGGAGATATTATTAAAAAATATATAGGGGATAGAGTGAGAAAATCATAATATGTTTAATTACAACTCTAAAAATGAAGAAAATATAGGACCAAGATAATATTTGAGGGGAGAATGGCTGAGAATTTTCTAGAACTGTTGAAAGATACCAATTCGCAGATTAAGAATCCCAAAGAATTCCAAGCATTGTAAATAATAAACTAGATTTATCATAGTGACACTGTCAAGGAGAACATGAAGGTAGCTATAGAAAGGAGCAACAATCAAAATATCAATGGCATTTTTCAATGAACTAGAGCAAATAACCCTAAAATTCATATGGAACCACAAAAGACCCTGAAGAGCCAAAGTGTTCCTGAGAAAGAAGAGTAAAGCTGGTGCTATTATACTCCCTGACTTCAAGCTATACTGCAAAGCTACAGTAATCAAAACAGTATGGTACTTTCATAAGAACAGATCCATAGATCAGTGGAACAGGATAGAGAGCCCAGATATAAATCCACACATATGTAGTCAATATATGATAAAGTAGCCCTGAACATACATAGGAAAAGAGCCTCTTCAATAACTGGTGTTGGGAAAACTAGACAGCTACATGCAAGAGAATGAAACTGGATTAGTGTCTAACTCCATACACTAAAGTAAACTAAAAATAAATTAAAGACCTACATGTAAGACTTGAAATCATAAAACTCTTAGAAGAAAACAAGTTAAAATCTCTTGAACATAAGTATGAACAATTTTTTCCTGGACACATCTCCCCAGGCAAGGGAAACAAAAAATGAATACATGGGACTACATCAAACTAAAAATCTGTACAGCGAAGGACACTATCAGCAGAGCAAAATGATAACCTACAGTATGGAAGAATGTATTTATAAACGGTTTATCCGATAAGGGGCTAATATCCAAATATATGAAGAGTTCATATGCTTCAATACCAAAAACAAATAACCCAACTAAAAAATGGGCAGAAGACCTGAACAGACATTTCTCCAAAGAAGAAATACAGATGGCCAGTGTGCTCCACATTGCTAATCATCAGGGAAATGGAAATCAAAACAGCAATAAGATACCACCTCACGCCAGTTAAAAGGGCCACTACCCAAAAAAGACAAGTGTTGGTAAGGATGTGGAGGAAAAGGAATCCTCCTACACTGTTGGTAGGAATGTGAATTTGTGCAGCCACTGCAGAAAGCAGTATGTAGGTCCCACAAAAAATGAAATAGAAATGCCATATGACTCAATAATTCCACTTCTAGGAATTTACCTGAATAAAACAAAATCCCTGATTCAAAAAGATATTTGCACCCCTATGTTTATTGCTGCATTATTTACAACAGCCAAGATATGGAAGCAACCAAAGTGACCATCAATAGATGAATGGATAAAGATGATGTGGTACATACACACAATGGAATATTATTCAGCCATTAAAAAAAATCCTGCCATTTGCAACCCCATGAATGGACCTTGAGGGTATTATGCTGAGTGAAATAAACCAGGCAGAGAAAAACAAATACATATGATTTATTCGTGGAATATAAAAACAAAATGAAAAAAAACTGCAGTAGACTCAGAAACACTGATAAGTGACTGGTGGTTACCATGGGTTGAGGTGGGTGGGTGGGGAGAGTGAGAGGGATAAAAGGGCACAAAAATTCTCAATCACAATGTAAGTTGGTCATGGGGATGGTAGTACAACATGGAGAAGTAGCCAGTGATTCTGTAATATCTTCCTGTGTTGATGTTGACAGTAACTGCACTAGTGGGAGTGAGGATTTAATAATATGGGTAACTGTTGAACCACTGTGTTGTGTATTTGAAACCAATGTAAGATTGTATATCAATGGTATTCCCAAAAAAAAAAGCAAAAGTTGGATACCTTCTTATCAGTGTTGTAGCATGTATTGGAACTCCCTTTTTATGTCTGAATAATATTCTATTGTATGTATATACCCTATTTTGTTTATCTGCTTATCTGTTGTTGGATACTTGGGTTGTTTCTACCCTTGGCTATTGTGAATAATGCCACTATAACATTCATGTACAAGTATCTGAGTCCTTGCTTTCAATTCTTTTGAAAATGTGTTTACTTTTAACATGCCTTTCTTGCACAAGCATAAGTTTATTTTGATAAAAGCCAAAGGATATTTTGTTTCCAAAGTCCCTCTTTCATAAACACTGCAAGCTTTTACTCTGAGGCTTCTATGGTTACCAAGAAGTCTGTATAATAATCACATACAGGCATCAATTATCTACTGACACTTGTTTAAATATCCCAGTGATATTCATGTATCTAATTTATTTTAATCTTTTATTTCCTCTCTGGGTTAAAATATCAGTGACAAATTAGGATGTAACTTGAAATAATGCTTAAAAGAAGTTTCTATCTACCTGGTCTTTAAGATCCCCATTTCTGGATGAACTCAGCTTTTCCTCGAAGTGCTATCATGCTACTAATTCTAGGATCAAAATTGCTGTAGTAGGCCCCAAAGATACCAGGTCCCAATCCTGGGAATATGGAAATGTTATCTCATTTGGAAAAAATTTCCTTGCAGATATGATTACATTAAGGATCTTGAGATAGAGCAATTATCCTGGATTATCCAGGTGGGCCCAAATTCCTATTACTGGTGTTCTTATCAGAGAGGCAAAGGGAGTATCAACACAGGCAGAAGGGGAGAAGACAATGTGACCACAAAGGCAGAGGTTGAAGTTATGCAGTCCCAGAAGCCCAGCTGTCTCCATCAGCTGGAGGAGGCAAGGACTGGATCTTCCCTAAGAGTTTCTAGAGGAAGCACAGCCCTGACACTGATTTTGGCTGGTGATACTGATTTTGGCCTTTCTGGTCACATTGCCTTCTCCCCTTCTGGCCTCAAGAACTATGAGAGAATAAATTTCTGTTGTTTTGACCACAACTTTGTGGTAATTTATTACAACAGGCACAGGAAACGAATACAACTGCTTACAAAAATAATTTTAAATTGCAAAGGTAATTTTCACCTGAAGGGAATAGATAGTACTTTGTGGTCTAATTATTAGGTTTAACACTTAAATATCCAATAAGGTTATGAACCACAGTCACTATAAGGTTTTATTGATGCTCTAGGAAGAAAGTTTTCCTCACTTGTCAAGTAAATTTTTTCTGGGCATTGTTCCATAAACTTCCACCTAAATCCATAATGGTTAAACATGATATTTAGCCAAAATAAAGTAATGATTTACTTAAAGCTTATGTTTACTCTAAAGGTTATCATTAAATAATTAAATTAGTCAAAAGAAATGTAAGAAAGCCTTTCTGTTTTTCAGAATGAGGATTATTGAAAATAATTCCTCAAAGATCCAATTGCAAATAGACAAAATGAAACAACTTAGGGCAGAGCATGACATGAAAGAAATAAAATACTGTACTTTCTCCAAAGATCCTTCAAAACCTATTCCAGGTATTGTGTTTTGTTTAAAATATTTTAGAGAAATTCCAACTTCCTAGTTATTATCTATTACACAAATTAATATATATATGCTGCTTTGCATATGTTTCAAGTGTACCAAGGACTTCAGCCAGACTTTACAAACTTCTATAGGCAGATACTAGGTGGATACAAAGGGAAAGAGAAAACTTAAACAACCCTAGAATATTAAAAGAGTTCCAGTCAAGCTGGATAATATAAAGTACAATGCAGTGACTCATTAAAGTGTGGTCAGAAACCCGGGATAGGATTTGAGGTGGGGGTGGGTTTGGTGGAGCCCAAGAGTCAGGTTTTTAACAAGTTCTCCAGGTTATTCTAAAGTTTGAGAACCATGTTATAATATATGAAAAAGCTGTCGTGTTAATTTCTGGTGAATATTGATTCATACTGATGTCAGCATTCACTGGTTCCTCATCTTCAGTTAAGCTGCTTTTTAAGAGATTGAAGTATATCCTGGGATTCATCTAGGATGTCAAGAATTTTGTGTGATCGTGAATAGAGGAATTGCAAATACTCATCCTGGAGAAAAGAAAGACTTTGAGAATAGATAACTATATTAAAAACTTGTAAGGATTTCAACTAGTGTTTATTCAGAGGCAAAATCAATAAATGGAAATTTAGGAAGTCAGATTTGGTTTCAATAGAAGAAGCTGTATCTTGAGATAATGAGCCACCCCATACCAGAGGACTTCATCTGAGTTTGACTGACCATAATGTGATCGCTAGAAGCAGGGTCTAGATTCACTCTCAAAATATAAAATTAGGACTAGTAAACTACATATAAGATACATATAAATAAGTACAGAATACCCAATGAATTGATTAAATGCTGAGAGGATTCAAGGTAAGGAAATATTAAAATCAAATAGGATTATCCAAGAGGATTTCTGGGAGAGAATTCCGAGATATGCTTTTAAAGGTAACAATTGGCCTGAATAAGAAGGAAAGTCATTGGAAGTGTGTGTGTGTGTGTGCGTAAGTGTAATGAATAATGAATAGAAGGAACAGAGAGAACTGAAGATTTGACAGGCATTTATAAACTTTGTGTTGGAAAGAATAAACAGATTGCCCTGGGGTTAGCTGTAGCAGATTAATGGAAAATTTGATTAGAGAGAAATCTTTGGAGAGAAATCCTTGTTAGGCAAAAGTTTTTGGTGGTCCTAATTTATCCTGGGTAATGATAAATTAGGGGTTTGCAAGCTGTGGTGATGAGGGTATTCAACTTTTTTTATTTAAGATGCTAAGGTTTGGACAGTCTTCATTGAGTCTTCATCGATGATATGTTGAAAATCGCTAGCCATTTATAATTGTATGCTAATTCTGTTTATGTTCAGTAAGCTACAAGTTCATGCTACCATTTCTTAAATATTTCTTAACATAGTGAACTATCTGACGTATTTTTCCAAGATTGCTGTTCGAGCACAAGAATTCCACGCATGACTTGGCTTTTTGATTTGCTTCCTTTTCTCACAGGCATGACACTCCCAGAATCTGTCAATTTAGATGCTCTCACTAAATACCTGAAACATCTTGAAGATAAATATGCAGAAATTAAGCAACTTATGTTGAAAAAATACATACCAGCTCAGAGGAAGGTGTATTTAGATGAAGAAATGGTTGTGACAGTAAAACGGCGAGATTTAGCTGAAAATCTGAACAAAGATTTACAGTTTCGGTATGAAAGTCGATTATATATTTTTTAAGTTTGAAGCCCTTATTTATGTTTATCCCACTGTTTGATTTTAGGTTCAGTGTATTGTTGATTTTTTTTTCTTTTATAGTTATAAAAGGCTGCAGATTATTTCCTATGCATTTACTTCATGGGTAAAGTCTGATAAGAGCAGCTCATTTCAAGACTTCGTGAAGCAGATTCTGAACACTAAAGATTTACATGGTAGTTTATCTATATATTTTTTTTATTAACACAAATAATGGAAAACTTTTTTTCCAGAAAACTAAAAAGTGGGTATTTTCCTAGGCTGAATTTTAAAAAAGCAAAAATGTACTTACCACCATTAGGTCTCTGTTATCCTGTGGGCTTCTTCCTTCAGTAGCTGACAGATAATTGGTAAAGAGTCGGCTTAGTGAGCCAAAGAAAGAATACCTGAAAATGTACCTGAAAGTAAGGAAGAAAGGGACAGGGAGGCCACTTGGTTTAGGAAGAAGTTGGTGCTATTAGAAACCATGTCACTAAGTTGCTGGTGTTCAACATATGTATATTTATTGTTTTCTAGTGATTAATAATCTTAAATATCATCCATGATGCTTTGAATATTTACAGATGACCAAGGCATTGTTGAGGGACTGTTTGAAGATGATCCAGGCAAGGCAAAAGAAGCTGAAGTTTTGCTTTACTACATTGAAAGGCAAATATTTTGAAAGCTTTGATTTTCCTTGTTAATATGTTATAGCATTTATTTAATACTTATTTAAATACTTGTAAAATATTTAATATTTATTAACTGTGCAGCATTTATTTAGCATTTTGATGAGCTGTTGTCTCTAGTTTTTGTATGTTTAAAATTCTACTGTAGTAGACAAATTAGAAAATTTTTAAAAATATTCTTTGAAAAAAAAAGTGAGATTGGTAGCCTAGGGGAGTTTTAGAGGACATAAGTGGATTGCAGTGTTGATTTAAGTTTTATTTATATTTTTCTTGCATTCCCTAACCATCAACCTGATTTTTTTGAGAATGTTTTCTTGAGCCAGATTATCCTAACCAGTTCAGTACTTTTTTCTTATTATTTCCATTCTATGACATATTAAGAAGGCATATTTCTCCATAATATTTACTAAGTTATTATATACAGTGTATAATAGAGGCTTAAAGAGATCTAAGACTTTATTCTTTGAGAGATTAATTTATAGGCCATAAGGCTAATATGCAATGAACATATATAATATTCCTAGTCTTGTATGTTAAACTGCTTGTTGATATGGTACAAAAAAGGGGTAAAGATCATTCTGTGGAGCACCAAAGCTGTGTTATTTCCTTACACTGTGTGCTTTTCTAAGTCTATCAGCTTTAATATAAGAGAAAAAACCCTTGTTGAGGTTAAAAGATTTTTATATTTTGCTTAATATTACTTTGATGTTTTTCTCCTCTGGGGTTCCACATTGATTTGCAGCACTGTGTAAATCCTGTGTGTCATGGTTTTATTAATTGTGAGGTAAGGGCTGATTTAAAGACATTTTGTCCTAAAAGAGTAGGGACTTGAGTTATCTGAACTATTATCTTTCCTTCTGTGTTAGTCTAATATTTAATTGGGAGTCTGATACCTGGCAGGGCAACATAGGCCTCTGAATACCAAGACACCTCTCAGTTTCCAACATGGCAGCCTTTGTGTTCAATTAGTATTTCTGATAGGCTGAGCCTCTGAGTGATTGTCCTTCTTCCCCCTGATACCCCTTTACATTTGGAGATAATATGAGAGTAAAATTCTGAACTCATTATAAATTCACTTGAAAATTTTTTTCTATTTTCTATGGCTTACTATAAATACTATAGGAACAAAGTACAGGATCAGGTTCAGTATCAGCTGACAGGTGAGAGTTTTATTCTGAGGCTACAAAAAATGGAATATTAGGGTTAGAGTGAAAGAACATTGTACAGAGTGAATGAATCTAGTTATAATTTATTAGAATTGCTTTTCTATATTCATGCTATTTTAGTCTATATTAGACATTTCTAATCAATTTTCTTTCCTTTTTTTGTGTACTATTATAATGCATAATGAAATGCAATGGCTGTAGGTTCAATGAATTGATTGCACTTGGTGAGTATGAAAAGGCAGCTGGTTTTGCAGCAAACAGTCCTAGAAGAATTCTTCAAAACATTGGGACAGTGAATAAATTTAAAGGTAAGCATTTCTCTGATAGAATGGATAGAATATTGAACTGGGAGGTTAAAGATCTAGGCCCCAGCCCTATCTCTACCATGTTTCAGTTTCCTTAGCTGTGACATTAAGGAGCTTGATTATGTTTTCTAAGTTAAACTATGAAATGTTTCAAGTTTACAGAAAAATATGGAGACACCTAAAAGAGCCAGTACTCATTATCAAGATTTAGTAAATGTTAATATTTTGTCAATTTGCTCCTCTTCCTTTTAAAAACAACTTTGTTGTGGTTTGTTGATATACATAAAACATACTGTACATATTTAAAGTGTGCAGTTTGATAAATTTGACATATGTATCACCCAAAATTTCCTTCATTCCTTTCAGTGACTCCTCTCTCCCACTATTTCCTACCCCTCCTATTTTCTTTCCTCCCACAGCTTCTTCCCCCAAGTCCTTAGGCAACCAGTAGTCTGCTTTCAATCATGATAGATAATTTGCATTTTCTAGAATTTTACATAAATGGAATCATATAGTAGGTAGTCTATTTTGACTGACTTCTTGCACTCAGCATAAGTATTTTGAAATTCATCCATGTTGTTGTATCTAGCAATAGCTCATTCATTTTTTATTGCAGGCAACATAGGCCTCTGAATACCAAGACACCTCTCAGTTTCCAACATGGCAGCCTTTGTGTTCAATTAGTATTTCTGATAGGCTGAGCCTCTGAGTGATTGTCCTTCTTCCCCCTGATACCCCTTTACATTTGGAGATAATATGAGAGTAAAATTCTGAACTCATTATAAATTCACTTGAAAATTTTTTTCTATTTTCTATGGCTTACTATAAATACTATAGGAACAAAGTACAGGATCAGGTTCAGTATCAGCTGACAGGTGAGAGTTTTATTCTGAGGCTACAAAAAATGGAATATTAGGGTTAGAGTGAAAGAACATTGTACAGAGTGAATGAATCTAGTTATAATTTATTAGAATTGCTTTTCTATATTCATGCTATTTTAGTCTATATTAGACATTTCTAATCAATTTTCTTTCCTTTTTTTGTGTACTATTATAATGCATAATGAAATGCAATGGCTGTAGGTTCAATGAATTGATTGCACTTGGTGAGTATGAAAAGGCAGCTGGTTTTGCAGCAAACAGTCCTAGAAGAATTCTTCAAAACATTGGGACAGTGAATAAATTTAAAGGTAAGCATTTCTCTGATAGAATGGATAGAATATTGAACTGGGAGGTTAAAGATCTAGGCCCCAGCCCTATCTCTACCATGTTTCAGTTTCCTTAGCTGTGACATTAAGGAGCTTGATTATGTTTTCTAAGTTAAACTATGAAATGTTTCAAGTTTACAGAAAAATATGGAGACACCTAAAAGAGCCAGTACTCATTATCAAGATTTAGTAAATGTTAATATTTTGTCAATTTGCTCCTCTTCCTTTTAAAAACAACTTTGTTGTGGTTTGTTGATATACATAAAACATACTGTACATATTTAAAGTGTGCAGTTTGATAAATTTGACATATGTATCACCCAAAATTTCCTTCATTCCTTTCAGTGACTCCTCTCTCCCACTATTTCCTACCCCTCCTATTTTCTTTCCTCCCACAGCTTCTTCCCCCAAGTCCTTAGGCAACCAGTAGTCTGCTTTCAATCATGATAGATAATTTGCATTTTCTAGAATTTTACATAAATGGAATCATATAGTAGGTAGTCTATTTTGACTGACTTCTTGCACTCAGCATAAGTATTTTGAAATTCATCCATGTTGTTGTATCTAGCAATAGCTCATTCATTTTTTATTGCTGAGTAGTGTTCAATTGTATGAATACAAGTCCATTTTCAGATATATGATTTGCAAGTATTTTCTCCCAGTGTGTGACTGACTTGTCTCTTCATTCTCTTAACATTATCTTTCTAAGAGTAGAAATTTTAAATTTTGTTGAAGTCCAGAATAGAATTTTTTTTTCCTTTATGGATCATGATTTTAGTGTTGTAGCTAAATCAGTGATTAATCTGATCTTTCTTCTATTTTTTTTCCCTGAGGATTTTATAGTTTTAAGTTTATAGTTTGAGTTAATTTTTGTATATTGGGTGAGGTATAGTTCAAAATTTTTTTTTTTGCCTATAGCTATCTAATTGTCACAGGATAATTTATTTAAGAGGCTTTCTCCCTTGAAGTGACTTTGCACCTTTTTTGAAAACTGATTGTCCGTATATTTGTGGGTCTGTTCTATTTTGTTGATTTATTTGTTTATCTTGTTGCCAATACTACACTGCTTTGATTACTATAGCTTATAATAAGTCTTGAAATCAGACAGTGTTAATTTTCAAATTCTGTTCTTTATCAGATTTGGGTTGACTCTTCTAGGCCTTTCATCTTTCTATTTAAATTTTTAGAATCTGTTTAAATTTCTACAAAAAAAGTCTACTGGGGACTGTATTGAATCTATAAATCAGTTTGGCAAGAATAGACACTGAACAATATTGGATCTTCTGATCCAGTGAAACCATAAACATAGTATATCTCCCCATTTACTTAGGTCTTTCAAAGTTTCTTTCAGCAATGTTTTACAGTTTTCAGTGTTCAAGTCTTTTTTTTTAGTTGAAATTTTTAATGTACTAAAAAATTTTCAGTGTATAAATACCCAGGAAATCTTTCTTTGGATGTGCCCTGAAATCAGTGTAAGTTCAAAGTGATATTAATATATTCCTGAATTTCTTTATCTTCTCCCCTTGACTTGGTCTGTTCAATGTATAGATTGCAAGTGTCAATAAAAATTAAAGCTTGTAATTGAATTCTTAAATAACTACCAGTGAAGTTGGAAAATATCCAGCTTTTATTAACTTTATAGGTATGTGAATCTTATGCTGAGAAATTCACCAATAGTAGACTAGTGGTACTGAACTGAGTATTCCTTAAAATTGCAAAATGTTACTTCATTTTAAAACTAAGCTACATTTTTAAAAGGTGAGAAATTCAGATGTATAAATAAAAGAGAGGTATAGTCAGTGGAGCTTACAAATCCAGATAAATTTTTCTCACTATTTTCATTCTAAGTGGAAACCTTTGATGTCAAGTATATATAGACTTTTTTCATAAGTTTCACCAAAAAAATTAAATTGAACAGTTCAGTTTGAAAAAAATATTTTTCTTCAACTTTTTGAAGGAAAACTGTTGCCATACCATACATGCATGCATAGTGCATATAAACATATACATTTATAAAGATAACATGACTGAATTGTGTACAAACGGGCCCATGTCATATTTTTGCATGCATGATTTTCAGTATTCTATTCTGGTGAATGATAACACAGTGTCCAATTCTACAGTTTTTATTCAGTGGACTTGAAATCAAGAAACCATCCCAACAATTATTTACAATTTAGTAACTGAATGATTATCAGATCATGTTACACTGCATAAGAATTCGTACATCATGAATGCTGACACTGTGCATTTTGGATGTTAAACTGTTCATTTTATAAATCTGAGGTTTAATTGGCATATTTAAAAGTAGCCAAAGTCTGAACAATGTAGTGACAGAAGAGGTATCTACCACAGAGCATTTATAGTTTTATAAGGAACACAGAGCACAGAGAATTAAGTGATTTTTCATCAGTGTTTAAGTCTTATACATCTTTTGTCAGACTTATCCCTAAATATTTTGTATTTTTTGTGCTACTGTATTGTTATTTCAATTCCTGAAATTGATATTGGTAGAATATAGAAACACAATTGACTTTTGTTTATTGGTCTTCTGTATCCTGCGACCTCTTTAAACTCATTTATTAGTTCTAGTACTATCATTGTGGTTTCTTAGAATTTTCTACATAGATAATCATGTCATCTACTAATAGAATTCTACTTCTTTCTTTGCAGTATGGATGCCTATTATTTCCTTTTTTCGTCTTACTATACTGGCTAGATCTTCCATTACAGTGTTGAATAGAAGTAGGGAGAGCAGATATCCTTGCCTCGTTCTTGATCTTAGAGATAAAGCATTTAGTTTTTCAATATTAAGTATGATATTAGGTATAGATTTTTTTTATATATGTCCATCATGAGGTTGATGAAATTCCCTTCTATTTATGGTTGGAGAGAATCTTTATAAGAAATGGATATTAGATTTGTCAAGTACTTTTCTGCATTTATTTATATGTGGTTTTGTCGTTTAGCCTATTAATCTAATGTAATGCATTCCTGAGGAAAACTCCACAAATTTAGTCATTTTACTATAATTACAGTTATGTAAACATTACTATAACTTAATTTTAGAACATTTTCACCATTCCAAAAATAAACCTTGCACTCTTTAACTCCTCATTCTCTACTCCCTGCTCCCCATCTAAACCCTATGTAACCATTGATCTACTTACAGTCTATATAGATTTGCTTATGCTGGAACTTTCATAAGATAGGATCATATAATAAGTGGTCTTTTGTGGCTGGTTTTTTTCATTTAGAATGCTGTTTTTGAGTTTTGTTCATGCTGTAGTATGTACGAGTTAATTCCTTTTTATGGTCAAATAATACTCCATTGTATGGAATAAAAATATTATTACTATTTTTATGGAATAATATTGTACTCCAGTACTCAGTTAATGATCATTTCGTTGTTTCCACTTTTTGGCTATTAGGAATAATGCAGCTATGAACATTTGTATACAAGTTTTTGTATAAACATATGTTTTTATTTCTCTTCGGTAGATGCATAAGAGTGAAATTGCTGGTTTATATGGTAACTCTATGTTAATACTTTGAGGAACTGCTAAACCATTTGGACTGTTTTTTATTCCCACAAGCAATTTTTAAAGGTGCCCATTTCTCCATTACCTGTCTGTCATTTTGATTATAGCCTTTCTAATCCCTGTGAAATGGTATCTAATGTGGTTTTGATTTGCATGTCCCCAATGTCTAACAATGTTCATCAGATGTTTATGTGCCTCTTGGCCATTAGTATATCTTCTTTGTAAGAATAACTGTACTCACTTCAAAATTGTATTTCAGGCATACCTCATTTTATTGTGCTTCGCTTTATTGTAATTTGCAGATACACTTTTTTACAAATTTACAGAAGACTGTGCTGAGCAAGCCTATGGGGCCATTTTTCCATTTGCCTACTTCATGTCTATGTTTCACATTTTGGCAATTCTCACAGTATTTCAGACTTTTTCAGCATTATTTGTTATGGTGATTCATGATCAGTGATTACAACTCCCTGAAAGCTCAGGCGATGGTTAGCATATTTTAGCAAAGTATTTTTAAATGAAGGTACATACGTTGTTTTTTTAGACATAATGCTGTTACACACTCAGTAAACTACAGTGTAGTATAAATATAACTTTTATATCCATGGGGAAACCAAGAAATTCATCTGACTCAATATCTCTGATGTATGACTGTATTTGTGTTTTTATAATTGAGTTGCAAGAGTTCTTTTTATATTCCAGATAAAAATCCCTTATCAGATAGATGATGTACAAATATTTTCTTCCATTCTGTGGGTTGCCTTTCACTTTCTTGATAGTTTTTTGAAGCTCAGAAATTTTTAGTTTTTATGATCTCCAGTTTTCCAATATTCTCTTTTATGGCTGTGCTTTTGGTATAGTATCTAACAAATCTTTGTCTAACTTAAGACCTTGTGTTTTCTTTGAAGAGTTTTATACACATAGGTCTGTGATCTACTTGAGTTATTTTGTGTACGGTGTGAAGTAGGTGTCCAGATTTATTCTTTTGCATATAGATGCCCAGTTTTCCCAGTACTATTTTTTTAAAAGACTTTTCTTTACCAGTTGAATTGTTTTCATCCCTTTGTCAAAAATCAATTGACCATGAATGTTTAGGGTTTACTTCTGGGCTCTTAACCATCCTATGACAGTATCATACTATCTTGATTACCATAGCTTTGTAGTAAGTTTTGAAATTGGAGGAATAACTCCATCTTTCTTTTAATTAGTATTGGCCTGGTATTTGTGTCTTTGTATTTAAAGGTAGGTAAAAGCAAATACTTGGATCCTACTTTTTTTTTCTTTTATGCAATCTGACAACCTTTACCTTTTAATTGGGGTGTTTAGATCATTTACATCTAATGTGATTGTTGACATGGTTGAGTTTTATTTGTTTTCTATTTTTTCATCTCTTCTTTGTTATCTTTTCTTTCTCTTTATCTACCTTCTTTTGGATTAGTTTTTTTTATGAATCTGTTTTTCTCCTTTGTTGATTTATGAGCTGTAACTCTTCATTGTCTTATTTTATTCTTTGCTTTAGGGTTTGTAGCTTACATCTTTAACTTACCACATTCCACCCTCAGGTGATATTATACCACTTAATGTATTACATAAAACTATAGACTTCTAAATGATTATATTCATAACATATTCCATTTCTGGTCTTTATTTCTTTGTGTAGATCCATATTTCTATCTGGTATCATTTTCCTTCTGCTTGAAGAACTACTTTTAACATTTCTTATACTATGGGTTTTCTGGTAGTATACTTTTTCAGCTTTTTAAAGTTCCTTATGATGGAGGCTCTGAGGGAGATGATGTTCCTTGCTTCTCTCCTACCTCTTAGGTGGCTGTCAGCAATTTTTGCATTCCTTGGCTTGTAGAAACATCACTCCAATTTCTGCTTTAGTTTTCACATAACATGAGATATTTAGTCATTATCCAAAATACAAAGTTTAATTCATAAGCATTAGTTAAAAATTACAAATATGTAATTTTAGCTTATTTTAGAAAATACAGAGATGAAAATAATAATATAAAGTAATAAAAAACAAACTATTATTTAAAGTATTTGACTCAAAAGCTTTTCTTCTCTATGCAGCTGTTGGAAAAATTAAAGGAAAGCCTTTTCCATTACTCTTATTTTTTGAGGCTGTATTTGGCACAAGTCATGCTTTTAGACAGCCTATTGATACAGAATTAACCCTGGAAGGAATCAAATGTGGATTATCTGAAAAACGTTTAGATTTAGTTATCAATTGGGTCACCCAGGAAAGGTAAGCAAAGCTAAACTTAATTTAATTTTGATATTTGGTTAATAAAGTTGTTCTCAAAATCTTAATAGTTTTCTTATCAATACATTATTTGAGCCTTTGTTTCAGATCCCTCTTGCAATTAATTAATCAGAAAGTATTAACTAAGCATTCATAGAGTAATGGGGCCTAGTCACAGTGAGCCCAAATAAGGAGTTGACTCATAGCAGTTCACAAGATGACTCGTGTTCACTGAATGGTGGATGGAAGTTGATCAGTAAGGATAGAAATGATTGGTAAGTATCATGCTTCTCAGAGGGATAAGGCAGAAACCTGGATCCAGACAGGCTGTGGGTATATGTAGTGGACAAACCCAGGAGAAAACTTATAAGCAGGAGGGACATGGACCAAGGGTAGTATTTAGAAGAATGTACAAACCAGCAAGGACAGGCAGGGAGTGACTTTTGAAAACATTACTATAACTTAATTTTAGAACATTTTCACCATTCCAAAAATAAACCTTGCACTCTTTAACTCCTCATTCTCTACTCCCTGCTCCCCATCTAAACCCTATGTAACCATTGATCTACTTACAGTCTATATAGATTTGCTTATTCTGGAACTTTCATAAGATAGGATCATATAATAAGTGGTCTTTTGTGGCTGGTTTTTTTCATTTAGAATGCTGTTTTTGAGTTTTGTTCATGCTGTAGTATGTACGAGTTAATTCCTTTTTATGGTCAAATAATACTCCATTGTATGGAATAAAAATATTATTACTATTTTTATGGAATAATATTGTACTCCAGTACTCAGTTAATGATCATTTCGTTGTTTCCACTTTTTGGCTATTAGGAATAATGCAGCTATGAACATTTGTATACAAGTTTTTGTATAAACATATGTTTTTATTTCTCTTCGGTAGATGCATAATAGTGGAATTGCTGGTTTATATGGTAACTCTATGTTAATACTTTGAGGAACTGCTAAACCATTTGGACTGTTTTTTATTCCCACAAGCAATTTTTAAAGGTGCCCATTTCTCCATTACCTGTCTGTCATTTTGATTATAGCCTTTCTAATCCCTGTGAAATGGTATCTAATGTGGTTTTGATTTGCATGTCCCCAATGTCTAACAATGTTCATCAGATGTTTATGTGCCTCTTGGCCATTAGTATATCTTCTTTGTAAGAATAACTGTACTCACTTCAAAATTGTATTTCAGGCATACCTCATTTTATTGTGCTTCGCTTTATTGTAATTTGCAGATACACTTTTTTACAAATTTACAGAAGACTGTGCTGAGCAAGCCTATGGGGCCATTTTTCCATTTGCCTACTTCATGTCTATGTTTCACATTTTGGCAATTCTCACAGTATTTCAGACTTTTTCAGCATTATTTGTTATGGTGATTCATGATCAGTGATTACAACTCCCTGAAAGCTCAGGCGATGGTTAGCATATTTTAGCAAAGTATTTTTAAATGAAGGTACATACGTTGTTTTTTTAGACATAATGCTGTTACACACTCAGTAAACTACAGTGTAGTATAAATATAACTTTTATATCCATGGGGAAACCAAGAAATTCATCTGACTCAATATCTCTGATGTATGACTCTATTTGTGTTTTTATAATTGAGTTGCAAGAGTTCTTTTTATATTCCAGATAAAAATCCCTTATCAGATAGATGATGTACAAATATTTTCTTCCATTCTGTGGGTTGCCTTTCACTTTCTTGATAGTTTTTTGAAGCTCAGAAATTTTTAGTTTTTATGATCTCCAGTTTTCCAATATTCTCTTTTATGGCTGTGCTTTTGGTATAGTATCTAACAAATCTTTGTCTAACTTAAGACCTTGTGTTTTCTTTGAAGAGTTTTATACACATAGGTCTGTGATCTACTTGAGTTATTTTGTGTACGGTGTGAAGTAGGTGTCCAGATTTATTCTTTTGCATATAGATGCCCAGTTTTCCCAGTACTATTTTTTTAAAAGACTTTTCTTTACCAGTTGAATTGTTTTCATCCCTTTGTCAAAAATCAATTGACCATGAATGTTTAGGGTTTACTTCTGGGCTCTTAACCATCCTATGACAGTATCATACTATCTTGATTACCATAGCTTTGTAGTAAGTTTTGAAATTGGAGGAATAACTCCATCTTTCTTTTAATTAGTATTGGCCTGGTATTTGTGTCTTTGTATTTAAAGGTAGGTAAAAGCAAATACTTGGATCCTACTTTTTTTTTTTTTTATGCAATCTGACAACCTTTACCTTTTAATTGGGGTGTTTGGATCATTTACATCTAATGTGATTGTTGACATGGTTGAGTTTTATTTGTTTTCTATTTTTTCATCTCTTCTTTGTTATCTTTTCTTTCTCTTTATCTACCTTCTTTTGGATTAGTTTTTTTTATGAATCTGTTTTTCTCCTTTGTTGATTTATGAGCTGTAACTCTTCATTGTCTTATTTTATTCTTTGCTTTAGGGTTTGTAGCTTACATCTTTAACTTACCACATTCCACCCTCAGGTGATATTATACCACTTAATGTATTACATAAAACTATAGACTTCTAAATGATTATATTCATAACATATTCCATTTCTGGTCTTTATTTCTTTGTGTAGATCCATATTTCTATCTGGTATCATTTTCCTTCTGCTTGAAGAACTACTTTTAACATTTCTTATACTATGGGTTTTCTGGTAGTATACTTTTTCAGCTTTTTAAAGTTCCTTATGATGGAGGCTCTGAGGGAGATGATGTTCCTTGCTTCTCTCCTACCTCTTAGGTGGCTGTCAGCAATTTTTGCATTCCTTGGCTTGTAGAAACATCACTCCAATTTCTGCTTTAGTTTTCACATAACATGAGATATTTAGTCATTATCCAAAATACAAAGTTTAATTCATAAGCATTAGTTAAAAATTACAAATATGTAATTTTAGCTTATTTTAGAAAATACAGAGATGAAAATAATAATATAAAGTAATAAAAAACAAACTATTATTTAAAGTATTTGACTCAAAAGCTTTTCTTCTCTATGCAGCTGTTGGAAAAATTAAAGGAAAGCCTTTTCCATTACTCTTATTTTTTGAGGCTGTATTTGGCACAAGTCATGCTTTTAGACAGCCTATTGATACAGAATTAACCCTGGAAGGAATCAAATGTGGATTATCTGAAAAACGTTTAGATTTAGTTATCAATTGGGTCACCCAGGAAAGGTAAGCAAAGCTAAACTTAATTTAATTTTGATATTTGGTTAATAAAGTTGTTCTCAAAATCTTAATAGTTTTCTTATCAATACATTATTTGAGCCTTTGTTTCAGATCCCTCTTGCAATTAATTAATCAGAAAGTATTAACTAAGCATTCATAGAGTAATGGGGCCTAGTCACAGTGAGCCCAAATAAGGAGTTGACTCATAGCAGTTCACAAGATGACTCGTGTTCACTGAATGGTGGATGGAAGTTGATCAGTAAGGATAGAAATGATTGGTAAGTATCATGCTTCTCAGAGGGATAAGGCAGAAACCTGGATCCAGACAGGCTGTGGGTATATGTAGTGGACAAACCCAGGAGAAAACTTATAAGCAGGAGGGACATGGACCAAGGGTAGTATTTAGAAGAATGTACAAACCAGCAAGGACAGGCAGGGAGTGACTTTTGAACTGGGTCTCAGCACTGATGGGCAGATTTGGGCTCCCTTAGGTTGGGTTCCCTAGAACCAAAGCCTGAGCCAGGATTTTGGGGGTATGTGATTAATAGATGAAGGGCTTCTCAAGAAAATTCTTTAAAGAAGTAAGTGAAGCAGAATAGGGATGTGACCTAGAGAATGTGGATGTGACCTCAAGCAAGTTCTGACCTTGGCCTTATTATGGCAGGATGGCTCTGGAGCATAAACCATACTATAGAGTTGTTCCTCTTAGGGGCGAGGGGTCAGCTTTTTGTACCTCTGTTAGTCAAGCACTGTGGGCTGCCTGGACAGGGTAGGGACACATTACTTCCTGGGCATAGTTATCCCATAGTTCTCTATGGGCAATTCTCTATACAAAGCAGGGACCTGTGAGCTATTGGCAGTCAATATGCAGAACAGCTAGGGAAGGGTACACTGGCCCAGTAAGGATTTGGGCAGGATAAGAAAACAGCATCTACCTTAGTCAACCATTTGCACAATGCAGATTTGTTTTTCACATTAAGTTTACTTCATCCAGGCACAATTTCTCCAGGTTATAGGAGAAACTAGTAAGAGGAGGGTTAGTTGGATGAACTATAGCTCTTGTCTCTACAGTTGGTCCTAGGGCTGTATTTTGTTTACAGCTTTACTGAGATATAATGTACATACAATGACATAAACATATTTAAAGTGTACAATTTGATATGTTTCTTAAAAACAGTATTATGGAGATGTAATTGACATATAAGAAAGAGCATCTATTTATAGTGTACAATTTGACAAATTTTGACTTATGTATATGCCCATGAAATCATCACCACAGTCAAGATAATAGGCACATCTATGATGCCCATGTCCCTTTGTAACGCCTTCTCCTTCCTTCCTCCACTTCATTTCACTCCCCACCCCTATCTCCAAGTAACTACTGCTTTCTGTCACTATAAATTTGTTTGCTTTTTCTAAAATTTCATGAAAAATGAAGTTATACATTATATATTCTTTTTTCTTCCTATTCTTGCTTCTTTCACTTATAATTATTTTGAGATTCTCCCATTTTAATTAATATTCATCATCTTTCACCTCTATCACTTATTTTAGATTCTTCTCATTCTTAACACTTATTTTGGTCTTGATGACTGTGGTTACCATGCCTTTATCAGACTATGGTTATTGATTTATCCACTAACAGTTTTCAGTTAGCATGGGATTACCTTGAGTATCCCAGTAGATCATCTGCCACCTACCTGTAACAGATAACTATATACCATTTGAAAACTGCTACTGAGCCCTGCTAAAGCTGGAGTATTTATCCATGGAACATCAATGTTCGTGCAACTAGAGCTGCTCATCATGAACTGTATTCTGACTGACTCATTAAGTCATATGGTCAGGTGGGCTCAGAAGAGTCCATCCAAAATCAGGTGAAACCAAGATCATGTTCAAGCAGGCCCAGACACACAAGCTTCATGAATAGTCCCCAAACCTTACGTCAACTCCCACTGATTAACTGATAACTACTTCCACAGCTCACAACTATGGGCTCATACAGGGGTGGGACTACCTGAATCCAGCAGATGAGAAAAGTAAAACAAAGTTGGTTCATGGATGCTTTAAGTGGTCACATTTCTGTACCCTCCACAAAAGGTGCCTGTCAGGGAGCATTGGAGATAGCTCAGGCGAGAGGACGTCATCAGAAAGTGCATGTTCATCATCAACACCTGTTATCTAGTGCAAAGACACTTTAGACAAGATCAATTTCCTTACATATACTGATGGTTCTTGGCCCATTTTACCTCTTAGTTTTAAGAATTTAAATTCTTATGCAGTTCCTTGACTGCATAAAATGGGAAAGCACCACCACTTGTAAGGATTCTGAGATGATATAACAGAATGTTCAAGGCAATTCACATTCTTTATTCTTAGTTTCTGTCTCCTGATTTTAACTCTTGATGCCCTGGCCTCTACCACATGGCTACCTGAAAAAGTTCTCCAATTCCTGCCCTTAAGCTCAGCACTGAACCAGCCTTAAAGCAGCCTTAAAGCAGGATTATAGACTGACCGAGACTCTCTTAGTCATTAAACTTGCCTGGGGGAAAAGTCTAATTACTTGACCCATGAAACCAAAATTTAAGAAATTATTCTTCACTGGTATCAACTCTCTAAACTGCAACATATCTCTTAGAAAAGGAAAAACATCCTCTGAAATACTAACTTTACAAACCCAATCCTATAAAATAATGTCAAGTATCATGCATATATTAGTGATTATGTATTACTTCTGTTTTGACTTTTAAAAATCTACAGTCTCATTTATAATCTTAATTTACCAGTGGATTCAAGCATATTTTTTATTAGTTATTTATCATCTCCAGAGCCAGTCTGGTCTCAGATCCATTTTCAAAAGTCTCTGAAAAAGTCTTTAGAGTTAAAAGTAGGAGAGGGGAGAGCCAAGAAGGGGGCTTTAGGGAAGCAGAAAGAGGGTATCACGAGGTGACTGGGAGGGAAAAGGAGCCTAGTCCAGGGTGCTGGACTACCTCCCTTTCCTCCAGAGCTGGAATCCCTGTTTTCTTTCGTCTTTTCCTTCAGGGGCAATTCCATTCTTGTGTGGCTTGACCCTCCTCCTCCCTCTGGATAATTTTTCTTTTTAATCATACTCTTCTTTTCTGATCATCCTTTTGGAAAGTGACAAGCCGTGACAGCAACCTCACTCCTCAACTCTGGATTTTTCTCAGGCAGAACAGCAGCATGATGGTGACTGCTTAAAAATAAAATAATGGTATTAATAAGAGAAATAAATGCCAGAGTACTAGTATTATCATGTTTCTCTAGTGATGCAATCTCTAGAAGACTAAAATAATTACTTGTTCAGTCTCAGGAAGCACTGTGGCTGTAGCTACCAAAACCTGTATTTTGACATTAAAATGTGGATGTCAGGGAATTGCTTACTAAATAATTGATTTGTACTCAGAAGCTGCCTTTTGATTTTAGACCCACCTCTCTTTTGCCCACCTCAGCAAAACAGATAGCTTTATTTACTGAATGTTCACTAAAGAGACATTTTGTAGGGGTTTGAGGATTTCATTTTAATGTTATTACCATTTTGTTACTTGTGTAAAGACACCAATATTCCATGATTGCGGTGATTTCTGTTATTTCATAGCTATTAGTTTAAAATATAACTAAAGCACAGTGTCCATACAACCAGTAATTAGAAGTGATTTCTCTAATCATCTCAAATGCGCTTTGGCTTATGCTAAAGGTGGAGTTACTGTGATAGAATAGATGGTTCACTTCAACTGTGTATGACGCTGGTGCATTAAAATATGACAAGTGAAATCTGTTCAGTTGAGCCATCTCAGAAGAAACTGCTTCTTCAGTCTCTCCTAATAGACACAGTCATGTCCTCCCTGCTTCCTGTTGTTTCTTATAAATCTATAACAGTTTTAAAAATAATGCTGGTGTCACATTTTGTTTTCCTTTTGGTACAAATGCTTGCAAGATCTATTATTAATTTTGAGCTAAAGTTTGTTGTCACTATCTTTAGCCAACATTTAGAAAGTTCTTATATTCTATAGGCTTTAGAAACTAGATAACCTCTGAGAACACTGAAACACTCAGCTGTAAGAGAATTTTTGTAGACCTTATAATTTTAAATCCCACCAGTCTTTTCAGGAGAGTTTTAACCTTATTTGTAGATTTTTTTTAAAAACTTGAGCTCAGTTTTGCCAAAAATGTCTTCCCCCGAAGGGCAAGTTACTGATTGTTTTTGCTCTTAAATTTTGGATATGTTTAGTTTCTTTGACATCAATTGCCTATTAACTTGGAATGCTTATAGACCACAGAAAGTTCTGTTTACTGTGCTATATTTTCAAATGTTTCATTCCCATCTTCATCAAGAACTCCCTAACATGTGCCTTGTTAATCTGCTTCCTCTAGGCTGACATTTTCTAAGGAGGCTGGGGATGTGCTTTATGATTATGGGGAGCATAATACTTATTACAAGCCCAAGTGCCTGGCTTTAGCACAGATTATCTACAGTGAATGTGGCCTGTATAAGAAAGTTCTTCTTTGCCTGTGTAAACAGGGCCAGATTCAGGGGGCCTTAGACTACATGCAACAATTCAAGGACTTCACTTCCAGTAAGTAAAAAAAACCTACTTAATTTGTGTACATTCAAATTCTGGGTTTTAATTGTAAGATTACCCATTATAATATGTAATATTTTGGATTTACATTATAAAGTCCATTTTACATATATGATAAGTTGATTTCTCTTGTAATCTTCAGTGAAAGCAGCTAAACTGCATCTGATTGACTTTCATGCTAAGCATTTCAATACATTATGTATTTCTTCAATATAAACATTTAGTGAACTGGATAGTCCTGAAATTACAGTTTTAAAGAGAAATTTTGCAAATATGTTGGACCATGCTACTTAAAGGGTTTTTTAAAAATACCAACTTATTTATCACATATGATGCTCTGAACTATAATACGGGCATTAGAAATGAAGAATTAGTGAAATAATGTTCATTTCAAAATTTTGAAACACCTGTGTTGCAATAGGCAGTGATCTGAGACAATTGTGGACCTTAGGGTGACCCTACTTGAATGAGCTGATCTCTTATGAATCAAGTTCAGCAATAACCTTAATGTACTGGCTGTTCTGACACATCCCCAAATCCCAGGCCTATGTGAATCCTGATTTGTAAGCTATGTACACTAGTTCTAAGAAGTCACAAAATGAACAAAACTCAGCATTGTTAGTTCATGTTTTTCCAGGAAAAAAATAGGATATTTTATGTCTGTTGAATCTGATTATTTTCAAATAATAAATTGATTTTTATTTAGGTTCTTTTTTTTAAAGTTACTAATTTCTTCATTTGTTATATAACAGCATGCCTGATCCTACTCGTGTAACAATATTTTATAGTTCAGCTTTTTACATGTATATTCACACTGAATCCTTGTAATCCTTATGAACTCTATGAAGTAGGTTTTGTTATTATCCCTATTTTATAGATGGAAAGAGAGGCTAAGGCACTGAGAGGTAAGTAATTTGCCTGTATGGACACAGCAACAGAGCAGAATCTGGCATAGTAGGTACTACTCAATATTTGTTGAGTGAATTATATGTTTTTTGTTATTATCTAAGTATACAGACTCAGTTTCTGTGTTATTTTAACATAGGTAAGCATTATTTTTGTTAGAGTTTAGACATGGGATATAGGTTTTAATCACTCTTGGAATTTTTATTGAATGCAATGTGATTTGAATGCAATGTGATTTGCTTGCAAAATTTGCCTTGCATAGGTTCATAGAAACATGATTGACTCATTACCATTTTATTCTTTCCTTTGTTAGTGCATTATGCTCTAAAGCAACTAAATATATATTGTAATAATATAAGTATTAACACTTCTATATAATTAGAACCTTGATATTTATCCTCAGAATTTATTTAGCACATCAAAGAATAAAATAAAAGTAATCTGAGAAAAATCAAGGTTTTAGTTTTTGAAAAATATTTGAAAAATTGTTTTGCTTATTTTACTTTTTAATGAGAAACAGCCACAGCTTTCCAAGGTATCATCTTTGGCCTTGGGGACAGATTCAGTTTGTTAATACTTTCTGGTTTTAGAAAGAAAATGTTTCCTCACAGATTTAGAATTTCAGCTTTACATCTACAAATGTTAAAACAAACAATAAAAACAAAACCAGAAAGTCCTAAAAAAGTCTTTTGTTCCAAAAGCATAAATATAACTAATAGATCATCTGTTTTACAAATACAGATTCTTTTCATTTATTTCCACCTAATTGTAGAGTTTTTAAAGCCTGAAACGATTTGTTTGCTCACTTTCCCAGTCATCATTAAGCAAGTGAATATACCTCTCTGGAAATTGGGTTAGGCTAAATCTGAGGCTCTCAGACTTTCTGGTCCAAAGTCTCCTTTATATTTTTAAAAAGCAGTGAAAATCCCAAAGAGCTTTTATTTATATGGGTTATATTTATTGAAATTTAGAAATTAAAATTGAAAAATTTAAAGTATTTATTTTCATTTAAAATAACAATATACCAATTTGCTGTTATCATAAATAAAATATTGTTAATGAAAAATAACTTTTCTAAAACCAATGTCATGAAAAGAGTGACATTGTTTTACATTTTTGTAAATCTCTGTAATGTCTGCTTTAATAGAAGATAGCTGCTTTCTATATCTGCTCCTATATTCAATCTGTTGTAATATCACATGTCATGTAGCCTCTGGAAAATACCACTGAGTATTTGTGAGAGAATGAGAACATAAAAGCAAGTAACAAGTTAGCATTTTTATGAAAATAATTCTGACATTATAAACCATAAGCCATATTTTGAGAACCATTGTTTTAGATATTTGTGTGTTAAACACATACCGTACTTGGTATATAGGCTCTTATAATCTTATTAAAACAGGATTTACATGAGATAAATAAAGATTAATAACATGTTAAACCAAGAAATAAGGAAATGGATTCTGAAGTGTCATAAGCAGAACAGAAGGTCATAGGATTTTAATTTGTGTCCTTTCTAATTAGTCTTATCTTGTACATAATTGAGGAAATTTTGGTTAATTCATGGAGAAGAGGATTTGAATGTGACTGAATGAAATAGAAAAAGATGAATGAGTTATGAATTATTGAAATTGGCTGCTATGAATTGGCTGGGGAGAGCTGTATAAATAGTTTCATTTTAGTGGAGGCCAGTTTGAATGACCCAAGTCATAGACCATTTACTTCTTTTCTATAGAAATTTTTTAAAAATTGTTTGATTTCATTGATATAAAATTATATTCTGCTATTCCTTTTTCACTCTTTTACCATCTTTCTCTCTGTATGTGTGTATGTGTACGTGCATGTGTGTATATACATATATACACATATTTATTATTTTGGAGGAACGGAAACTATAGATTGGAAGGTTATGGACTCTGGGATTAGATGAGCTGTACTACTTCATACCATGTGTATAAATCTGGGAAAATTAGCTTCTCTAAGCCTGATTCTTCACTTGTAATATGAGAATGAATAATATTATCTCCCTTATATGGAATAGTAAATACAATGATTTAATATTTGTAACTTCCCAGTACAAATGTCATATGTTTAATAAACACTATAATACTTTGTATTGCCTTTCAGATTATAAATTATGTAATGGTAGTCCTTGATAGGACCTCAAAAATTATCCTGAAAATTATCTGTGTTGTGGTCCAAGAAGAATATTTTTAATTAAAAAAACTTATGAAGTTAGCATAAAGAATATAAATAATGATTGTAGCTTTAGGTTACTGCCGGAGTCCAGCTCCAGTTGAGGTGTGAGTCACGAAGGAAAGGACAGCATCAGCAAGTGAGGAGATGAAACACCCAGTTAAGGTTGTAACATCTCCTGACATCAAGCGGCAGGGTTTTTATTTTTATATCTTTTTAAGGTTTACATAATGTTACACATTTTCTTTGATCTTGGATGGTACAATGTTTTTTCCTTTCAGTTTTTGTATAATTCCGGCTCATAACAGATGTTATCACTTTTTTGAACAGCTTTCTTGTAACATTTAATGTTTAACTTTCCCTTAACCTTTTTGGCCAGAGATGCAGGTTACATGCTAGGTGCTAAACAGGAAATGGCATAAGAGAGTATGTGAGCTAAGCGTGTGGACTATGATTTTTACTTTAAGCATGTAAAATTATATAAAGTTTAAGATATGTGTCTAAGGTTTAAGCAGGTTATATAAAATGCAAGCTATATGTCTTTTGGTTATTGAGTGTAACTATATTATTAATTAAATCCTATCCTACACGTGTGGGTTGAGGCTTACATCTAAAATCTAGGGATGGTACTCCTATCACCTATTCTTCAACTTTCCTACAAATACAATAAAAACACCTTATTCTTTCATAATATTCATTCCACAATTTCAGATGTTTTTACCTTTCCTCTTGTGTCTACAGGCACCAGGGCCTTGCAGTCTTCTATTATCTTTCATATAATGACACTAAATCTGCTCTTACTACCTTACCATTAATATAATAATATTTTATCATAAATTTATTGTAAACCTTTATATATGGAATATTTATAAATATAAATTTTCCTATTTTGCTCATAAATTCTTTCTATGAGGGGGATACCAGAGGTGTCTTCTAATATTATAAGCAACATAAGGGGGACCCTGGGCAGTGGGGACTATTAATCTTTATTACTTTGCTGTTTCATATAAATTTCCTGGAAAAATGGGTTTTCCCATTGCCTGGGTTCCCATAACTCTTTCTCTGCCAATATTCTACAGAAATCCTGGTTAATCATGTTTGAATAGTTACAAAGGGGAGGACAAACTGCATCTAGTTTTAAGAGAGGCCTGGGTTCTTCTGCCTCACTTCTTTGTGGCAGTATGCCTGGAATAGTTGGCCCCGTAATACTGCTTTCATTTCTGGAATTGCTGCTTTGATCAATATTTTCGGTTATGTTATTTACTAAAGATGAATGAATCTTAAGTACATAAGATTTCCCATATATGAGCCCAATCACCAACATCATAAGTGCAAAAATAAGTGCGGGAATTAGCAGGGGCCAGTTATGAGGTTTCCTGTTTTCAGGATTCCTCCTCGTGCCTGGACCTTGTCAAACAGCATAAGCAGCATGGCCTGTGCCAGGTTACCTTAGTTGTTAATTAGTACATTAAACCATACGAAATTGCTTTTTTATTTTTAGTCAAAAGTGGTCAAATCCACTTTAAGGAAGGCTTCTTAAGGTCTTTATGTTTGAGTTTCCAAATACTTGATATTTTTAGGTAAAAAATGTACTAAGCCCTTTTTTTGTGCAAGGCACAGGAAGACATTCTACTCACTAGAAGTTGGCCCAAATATTAGCAACAAGATATAGACAAATATAACATAGTATTAGATGGAACCTTAGAAATTAGAGATACCACTTCTAGTACTTTTAAGATACAAAAATAGAGATCCAAAAATTAAATGACTGATGGAGCTATGATTAAATTTCAGGTTTCTTCATTGCCAGTCTAATCCGTTTTATTATACCATATTTATTTCATGACAGTTTTTTGATAATTTTTTTTCTGGGACTCTGTTTTGGTAGTTTTCTTTTGTTTTTCTTTTTGTTAGGCTGAGCATAATTTTTTTTTAAATTGGGGATACTACTGTTGAGTTTATTGAGGGCTTTGGAAGGACTGGAAAAAAGAATTGTTGTTTGATGGGTATAGAGAGTAGCTGGTCCCCATCTCGAGTTGATATGTCAAATTAGAATGTTGAAACATAGTTTTTCATATTTGCTTTCAGATGACCTGATGGAACTAATAAAGTTATGTCCCCACACTGAATTAATTCAATGTCTCACTAAAGAGTGGAATGGCAAACCACCATCTTTATCTTTTGGTCTTGTTGTACTTCACCTCTTCTCTGCAGATATGGAAAAAGTTGGCATTAAGCTACTTCAGGAAATAAATAAAGGTGGGAAAGGTAAGTAGAATAAATTAAATTTTAGTAGGTTACTTTGGGAAAAGTTTAAGATTATTATATTTGAGTTAACTAAAGTCTTGTTAAGAGTTCCTTCTTGTTAGGTATTAACATTAGGAGTTTATATATGTAAAGATTACCATGTCAATAATAATCTGTTGGCAATAATGTATATTTCTTGAGGGAATTAGAATGAAGAAAGAATCTATGAAACTTGAGGAGAACATCACAATAATTACAATAGCAAACACTACTCTAAAAACTGTATATATATTAACAAAAGTGCATATTTAGTAATTTTTATATATACTTTAAATGTTACTTAGATAAAAACTTTATATTTTTTCATTCCTAAACCAAATATACAAGTAAATGTCACTTAATGTGATATTTACTCTGAACTCAACTCTGCACTAAGATCAAGAATAATGAATTAGATCTCACTTTCTGTTTCCTTTCTCTAATTTATTCTAGAAATTAGAGCAGACAAGTTTATTTAAGTTATATGGGGTCAAAACATGAACAGTAAATTACATGAAAACATATTTGAGAAGGTAATTTGAAATTATCATTAGATATTTTATTTGATAGAAAATAAGAATCATGGTAGAAATAATAGTGATGACAATATCCTAAAGAGATCCTTTTCATTAAGTATCATAGGTAATGGAGGTAACAGATAAGAACTGAGTTCCATAAATAGATACATCCCTAAAGGGGTCACTATAATTGTTTTTCAGAAGTAAATTATTAGTTTCCTTTAATAGACAAAATCCTTCTTTTATTTCCTTAAAAAAATTTTGCTATTGAAGTCCCATTGTCAAGAGATCTAAGTATAGAGATAGGAAGGAGGGTTTGCCAAAGAGTTTTTATTAATCTTTGAGTCAGCATTACTAGGGCATTTATAAAAGTGAAAGACTGTAAAAACTAGACCTACAAGCTCTCAATTATTTGATAGTTTCTAGCAGTACCTTACAGATTCTGTGAATAAGGCTGAGCCCACATTCTTCACTTTCTGAGCTTTCTACCATGTAGCCTTCAATGTCTGCTAACCTTACCAAGAAGGCGATGAGTAGAGGAGTGGGGAATATGAGAAATGACAGGGGTTGAATTGAGGGGTAGGAGTTGAATTGAGGCACGAAAAGGTTAATGAAAATGGAAGAGGAGAAGGAACCAACACTTGAGTACTTACCTGGAGCTAGACTAAGACTCCACATCAAACTTGCAGGTATCAGGAATGAGAATTAGGTTTAATAGTAACCAAGTTGAAATGATACCTTTTCAATTTTTGAAAAATTGCTAAGTGTGCATTAGCAAATAAGAGTACTTAAGTGCCACACTGTAATATTGTATTTTTTTTCCTCAGATGCAATTGAAAATCTTATGATAAATGATCCATTTTGCTCCCTAGAAAGCTGGCAAGAAATGGCAAATATATGTTTACAGAATGGCTTTGACAAATTATCTAATGATATCATGTCCATTCTTCGATCTCAGGCTGGAGTTATAGAAACTTCTGAAGAGGATGATACAGTCAATTTAATGCAACATGTTTTTTGGTAGTTCTATGTTTTATCCATTTGAGAGGGCTTGTACAACATTTTGTGATGTTGCTTGGACAAACTGATTTTGGCATAACATAAATAAATCGAGTGTGAAGCTCTCATAAATAAATCATGTTTCTTTTGTTATGATGACATTAGATTTGTTCTTGAAACATACTATTGCTTCCTTTTTTTCCACATGATCATTTCTCATATTGAATCTTGATAAAATCCAAGTATACAACTCAGTTTAGGGATATCTATCTAAAGGCATAAGCTAATGTCTAGATATATTCCTTTCTGGTGATCTAATTTGACAGCAAGAACTGAGGAAGGTGTGAGAAGACTGGTTTCTCAAATATCAAGCCTGACTTCTAACAAGAAAGGCACGATGTCATTTCAAGATTGGATTCACTGGTGAAAACCTAGCATACAGTAATTTTGTACTACTGATTTAAACATGTGCCCCATGTTTTGGTATATACAAATGGCAAATGTTAGTGTCTATCTCTTATGACAGTTGAGACATCCTTTCTCTCTTTCTTATGCCAAAGAAGTTGGGAATCTTAGCATGTTCTTACCTAGAGAGAGGATCAGCCCAATTTTGCATAGAAGTAGATCTGGAATACCTGTAGGTTCAGAAAATATGGGATAAGTGGTTTTGGATGATTTCAAGTGTCTGAATAAGTATTTGATTGAAATCTCGGAGTTCTATGTCGTGGAATAGGATGATATTCAAAATATTTAATGATCAATGTGGCATGGACACCAATCAAACAGAAGAGATAACCAACTGAACAGAACAGCTTTTAGCCCTTATGTCACACTAGAGCATACCAGCTGAACGTCAGCCTTTATCGTGAAACATGGTAAAAATGAGCTGCTATTAGATAGAATAAGAATAAAGAGCATGAGTTTTCCCCTCCTAAATTTAAATTGAATGTATATTTTTTATTTAATAGTAGAGAGAATATGAACTCAGATTCAGAGAACCTTGTATTCGAATTCTAGTCCTACCTCTTATTCTTTTTAAAATATGAGCAGTAATAGCTCCTCTAGAGATTTGTTGGGGGAATTAATGATAATATATGTGTGATATAAGTGTATATATAACATAGTGGAGGAACTTAGTAGAAGATAACTGTTATTTCTATGTAATAGGTCTCAGAAACACATATTTCTCTACTTGTTTAATACTTACTAAATCTCACTATCTATCCATTTGTATTTGTATAATTATCCTTCTTTGGATTATGTGATGTACTGATATCCTTACTGCCTGTATTAAACTATCTGTCTCACTAATTAGGCTTGCTTGACTTACCTTGTAAATCCACAAGAGTACTGGCTGAGTGCTTAATTTTCCATATATTGCTAAGCATAGTACTAGGTAATTATAATTCAATTTTCTAAAATGCACTATTTTTAAAAGTAATACATGCACAATTTAAAAAGCTTTTTACAAGAAGCTTATAAGAACTGATAATATTTTGATTTCTGGACTTCACATTAGCTGTGTATTTTGAAAGGAAAAGATAAAAGATGGAAAACCAGAAGGGAAAGAAACAAGGTATTTCAGCAGCCAATACATTCTTCCTGTACCAATGGCTTAAAACCTTTCTTCTTTGAGATTTATGTGACTGATAGAAAGCTATTATGTGTCCATTGATCGAATTCAGAAAAAAAAATGTGTCCATGAGAGCCAGGAGGTAGAAGTGGGTGCATAGATCTAAAAAAAGCTTAAAACAGCAACTGTTGTTACTGCTAATTTTGCTTTGGTTTGAAAATGTATTCCTCCACTTATTATTATTCCTTTCCTGAAAGCATTACCTTTGGCAGTTTTCCGAAAGACAATGAAACTCCTCAAGTGAATATAAATAAAAATGCCTGGAGATGGAGTTGAAAGGAAGAACACAAGAATATAAATTCAAGTGGAGGAAGAAAAAAAGTTGAGTTGTAAGCCACATAGGATTTGGAAGTGGTAAGAATCTCCCTGTAAGCTGCACTGAAAGGGGTATAACATGAGCCTCATGGCAGAGGAACCTGTGTTCCATGAATGGTCTCTGCTATCAAGATTAAACATCAACGGGAAGACAGTACTTTTTAAAATTGAAGTGTAGTTGGTTCAACAGTTACACACACACAATTAAATCCTCACCCCCAACTAGTGTAGTTACTATCAAGACAGCATTTTTTTAAAAGTAACTGACAATATTTCCTTAGTATCATCTTATGTCCAGTCCATATTCAAATTTCACTAGGTATTTAAATATGCCTTTTTACAGTTGAGTTACTCTAATTCATAACTGAACAAGGTTCACATGTTTTACTCGGTGTTGTGTCTGCATCTAGAGTATGCTTCCTCACCTCTCTTTTTTTTCTTCTCTTGCTACTAACTCATTGGACTGGCTTGGTTGTCACTGGGAACGTTCTGCATTCTAGATTAGTTTGATTGTTTCCTTATGCTGTTATATAACTTGTTATTTTATTTCCCATATTCCCTATAAATGGATGTTAGCTCTGAAGATTTGACTAGATTTAGGTTCAACTGTTTTGGCAAAGATACTTATAGGTAGTGCTGAGTACTTCACAGTCTGTCCTGTTACAATGCATAAATGTTTGGTTTTCTCATCTTACTGCCTTTTGTGATGAAGTCCAAATTCCTTAACATAGCCTAAAAACCTTGCATAATCAGGATCAGCTGCCTCTCCAGCCTCCTCTCCCCATGTACTCCTCACTTCCTTTAATCCAAATGCCTTCCTTCTGTTCCTCTTGTAAAGGGCTTTACAAAATGCTATTTCTTCTATCTGGAAGGCTGTCCCTTTCTTTTTACCCAGTTAATAATTTATTTTACTTTAGATCTTAGCCTCCTTAGGGAAGCTTTTATGACTTCCTTAATGATTCCAACTTTCCCTTTTATATGCTGTCCTTTATTGATGTGTTCATTATTGTAGTCATAGACAATACTTTTTATTTAGGACAGAGACAATACCTTTGGAGGTGTGGGAAATGGGAGAGTGTTACTGTATTAGTTTGCTAGGGCTACTGGAACAAAGTACCACAAACTGAGTGGCTTAACCAACAGAAATTTACTGTCTCAGTTCTGGAGACTAGATGTCTGAGCTCAAGGTGATGGCAGGGTTAGTTCCTTCACCGAACCATAAGGGAAGAGTCTGTTCCAGGCTTCTGCCTCTCTCCTTGGCTTAGAGGTAGCCACCTTTTCTGTGTCTCTCGTGTCATCTTCCCTCTATGCATGTCTGTGTCCAAATTTCTTCATCTCATAAGTACACCAGTTGTATTGGATTAAAGTCCATCCTACTGACTTCATTTTAACTTGATTATCTCTTTAAAGGCCCTATCTCCAAATAAGGTCACATTTTGAGGTACTGGGGGGTTAGGATCACAACATATGAATTGTGGGAGGACATGATTCAACCCATAACTTACCATTATATCACTAAAACCAAACAGTACTGGGTACAAAGCAAATTTCAATAAATATTTGAAGAAATACCAGTCTAGACATGGTATCTTTCATATTTAATGCTAATCATGTGAGTTAACTTTACTCTTGCTTTTTTTTTTGGTAAATTTTATTGGCATATAAATATACATATACACAATAATACTTTCTGAAAAATGTGCAAATTATAACTGTAGAGCTTAATAACTTTCCACAAAGTGAATACATTTTTGTAACCAACTCCTGGATGAAGAAATAGAAAGCCCAGGGAATCCTAGCAGCCACTTTCCAGTTACTATTGTTCCCCTCTCAAAGACAGCCACTATGTGACTTTTCTATACCATAAATTAATCTTGCCTGATTTTGAACTTCATATAAATAAAACCATGGTGTGTTTTTGTGTTTTGCTCTTTTGCTCTTTGTCATTTTGTGAGATTCTTCCATGTGCTTCCATGATCATTCTTGTACCTGTCTTACACACGAACATATATGTGCATTTCCGTTAAACTCCTGCTTTGTTTTTTTAGGTTGTTTATTGACAGTGTGTATCAGCTCATCCTAGTAGCTAAATGGTGAGTGTTGGTACTGCATTAATGTTGAAGTTATAATGGTCTTCTCCTCTGACAGCTACAATGAAATAGCTCTAATAGAAGCTCTGCATTGGGTTAGAAATAGTCAAAATGGTCATATTTCTCTAAACCTGTGGATTTTTTAAAAATATAGATTTTATTTTCTTGAGCATTTTCAGGTTCATAATATTGAGCAGAAGGTATGGAGATTTCTGTATATCTGTTGCTGCTACATATAAACAACTTCCCCATTATTAGCATCCCCCACTGGAATGGTACATTCGTTACAGTTGATGAACCTAGAGTGACGTCATTATCAGCCAAAGTCCGTGGTTTACACTAAGGTCCATTCTTGGTGTACATTTTATGGGTTTGGACAAATTTATAATGGCATATATCCATCACTATGATATCAGAGTAGTTTCACTGCCCTAAAAATCCTCTGTGCTGCCCCTATTTATCCCCTGTGGGTTTTTTTTCATTTTCATATGGGGTACCTCTTTGCTTCCTATGTGTGAGGAGAACAAATATTTCTAATGTGCTCTTTGTGTGCCAGACACTATACTGTCTGTTTTAATATATATTCATATTAAAATCCTCCCAACAATTTTGTGAAACAGATATTATTATACCCATCTTTGTAGGTGAAGAAAAAGGAATTCAGCAGGCAAAGTAACATGCCAGAGACCGCATAGGAAGGGCTGTGATGAGCTATGTTTCTCTGATTCAAATGAGGTGTTCTTCCCATCATACCAATGGGAGAGGGGAAATGTTTCTTCCACAGTCTGAAAGATTTACTTGTACTAGTTACATTTCTGTTTAATTATTATAGTCAAGCATTTATCAAAACAAATTTCCATTAATTTCATTCATTTGGAAAAACTTAGAGATTTTCTGAAAATTTTAAGGAACAATTTTCTTAATATTTTGGACTTAGTTTCCTAAATCCTGCTTTAATTAAGAAATAACCATTGTGTCAATCACTTTTTAACCAATGAAAATGTTACCTTTTAGTTGCCTTCAATTCTGTTAGCTTGCTAAAGCACAAGTTAAATGAAGAATCAGGCCTCATTGGTTATTT